TTCACCTTCTTTCAACATCTTGCACAACATAAACATACCCTCAACATCCCAGAAGACGTCTCTTTGTTACATAATATCCCCCAAAAAAATTTTTCTAAAATTAGATCTATATGAAGACTTGGAAATAGTCAAAGAAAAACAAAATAGCCCCAATTGCGTTAATCGCCATGTATCTTTCAACCGTGACTTTCAACCTTTACATTGACAACTTTTTTCATAGTTCACAATACTGCCCTACATTATCTGCCTTATTTTTCTATACAAACGTCAACACCTTAATCCTACTCAATTTTGTGTTTCTTTAAACACCCATTCTCTACAATATCGCCACACCTTCCTCTCACAATTTTCCGGCCCTAATGTTAACTTCAGAACCATCCATATCTATCATACCAACATATCACCATCTTATCCACTCTTCACTTCTACATCACATTCCTGTCAATTCTTTTCTGTTTCATTATTTCTTAGTCAATTCATATATCAAACATGTATCCAATAGTTTTAACTTAGTAATCATTCAAACATTATCTAACAATTTATCAAAATTCATAATCTAGCATATTACAAATAATCCTTATCTACCATTGTCCACCTTTTCTCGGTCAACAACTTAGTAGCAGACTTATACAACAAATTTCAGATTTCTACAAACTGAATTTAATACCACCAAAATGATTTTGTTCAGGGTGCTAGATACTTTAAGTATAAAGGACCCCTATTATCTCTTATTGTTGATTAACTCCTTTTCTCCTTTAAACGCCCCCCCTCTCTTTTCTTCAGTCATTTTTTTTACTTTTATTCTCATTAAGTCTCTGAGGAACCCAGCCTCTTCAATTTTAAATTCAATCACATAGGTTATTACTTTAATTTCTTCAGCCTGTAGATTTCATTTTACTAAACTTAATTTTATAAATTTTTTTCACTATAGGAACAGTCTTAAATAAAGTCATTTAAATATGAGGTCTGATATTAGCTTCAAATATTTGTTATTTAATTTTTACCTTGTCCTAGATGTGATAAACATAAAAGGATAATTTTCATATATATATATATATATATTATATATATATATACATATATATATATATATATAAATATTATATATATATATAATATATATATATATATATATATATATATATATAAGCTAATCCAACATAAAATATACTTCTAGACAACATTCCATATGACAAAAAGCAACATAAGTTGCCTAAGACACAGGTCATTCTATTAATCATGACTATAAAACCATCATTGATTTCACATCTTTTATACCCTAAATTAATAAATAAAAAAAGTTTTTTTAAATCCCAACACCTAGATTACTGTTATTTTTTAAAATCATCAAAACTTGTTGAATCTTTTGGCTGTAGTAATACTATGTACAACTAATATAGTTTTTTGTTACATTGACATTTTGTTTTCGACATCCTTCATAAGTATCTTGTCAATCAGTTTCCAGCTGTTCTCCGCGTGTAGAGGTTCTCTCACCGGCTCTGGAACTCGCTTCAGCCATGTGTTACCTCTAGCCAAATTTAATTTAATACTAAACATCACAGTTATTTTATAACACAATGTACAATCTTTTATAACTAAATGTAATTTAAAGGGTTTTTACCCTAGTATTTTGGTGGCTCAGGCATTGTGACCTAGTAAGTATAACCATATTTTGCTTTTCAACCATAGTCAAAATTTCACAATCACGTTTGTTTTAACTAAATGGTTTATACTTATTTTTAGGCATTTTTTTAATTTTAAAACCTGATGATGGACTGTGTGGTCCGAAAACGTTTGTTTTATTGATGTAGCCCTTTTAAGAGTTTTTTTTAAATAAATATACCCATTTACGAAGACTAACCCTCTTTTTTGTGATACGTGGTATACAGCCAGTTACAGGAATTTTTTTCCTTGTGGATTTTTTTTTAATATAAAGATGTTACAAATCAGGGTGGATAACGGACAACTTTTCCTGGAATGGTTGAAACATTTTCAGTGGCATGTTAATGCTGTTTAACATCGTCCAGTTATTTTAATGCTTAATAACCACACAACACATTTAAATCTGGCTCCCTACAATTTTTATCGCAACACTGAAATAAATCTCCTTTCCCTGCCACCGCACACCTCCCACCGTCTCCAGCCTCTAGATATCACGTTTTTTTATTCAAGATAGCTTACTATCAACAATGTGACAAGTTTATAAAATAAAAAAAATATATAAGAAAATCAATCCAAAAGACGTTGTGAAACTTATTAAAATGCCTTTAATATGGCTGCGTCTGTAAATGGTTTTTGAACCACGGGGATCTTTCACTCCAATCCCGATGTTTTTTGTAAAGCAAAAATAATATCTATACCAGTAATTGAGCAACAACCTCAACTTGATAAACTACCAGAGCCCAGTGGAGTCCAAAATAAAAACTGAGAACAAAAGCAGTACCATTATCAGAAGATTCTTTATCTGAATCAGAATTAGAAGAAGTTTTACACATTGATCTGAGCGATGATAAGGATAAATCTGTGCAGCTAAGAAATGAAAGTTTATCACTCTATCGGCACTACCAGTGTGTACTTATACAAAAACTAGAAGCAGGCGAACTCAAAAATTTTCCATTTTAACATCAACACCATTAAAAGAACGATTAAAAATAAGAAACAAAAAAAGCAAAAGAAGAATGAGGTTGAGAAAGTTAAACGAACAATTGGAGATACTAAGATAAAAACAGAAAAATTAGTCAATCAATAGAATTACATCCTAAAATCACGGACGTTCAGAGTTTGGACGAAATAAATTATGGTGGAGATGTCGTCTCTGGGCTCATGCAAACTGCACGGAAGCGGATACTGCTACTATTTATATTTACTCAAACTGTAAATGTAACTAAACAAATATGTATTTTATACTTAAACCTAAGTAAACTTAATCATTGAACTTGTTCACCTGTAATTGATATATCCCATCCTTAATCGATATTACCCATCTCCATTGTCGTTATTACCCGATTGATCGATATTACCGAAATTTTTTAAGTTTCAAAAATATGTATTTTTAAAATATTTGTAATTATTTTATAATATTTTTGAAGCAGTAATTAGTTATTTGAATATTCATATTATCGATGTCCAAGTTTCAAATTCGTAAAAGCTATAGCAAACAATATATCACAACTTAAATAGTCTTAAATAGTCGATTTCCCCCTTAATCTCCTAAAAATCGATGGCACCTAATAATCATATTTTGTTACCCATAAACAGAGTTAAAATAAACAAAGTAGAAATAGATAAGGAGAAAATTAAGAAAATTCGAATGATAACGTATTTGTACTAGAGCCAGCTTATCTTGTGAATATCTTAAGAGGAGTAAGGTAGGGCTGATTTAAACCGATTTTAACAAAAAGGTTACCTTAAACATATAGTCACAAATTCCTTGTGTCTGCAGCTGATAAAAATAATTATTAAATAGGAATTAAAATTTTAAAAAACACATTTTACTCCTTACTGGGTGCTGAAAAAATTTTCATTTGTCGCAGTTTGGTAAAATGAATGACAGAAAAGTACTCTATCACGAACTAACTAACAAACTGGGACATTAAAAAACCTTGCATTTCTACTTATTTACTATACTTAACCCTGCGTTGGTCGCATGGTTAAATGAACCACCATTGGTCGCAGTGAAGCTCACTTGTCATGTATATGACTTATTTTGACTTTTTATGAGTCAAAAAAACAAAAGGCATAAATATAATGATCTATTTATCAAAGCTAAAAAAAGGCAATATTTTTAACAAAATACAAAATGAAATAAAATATCAAATATAAAGTTTGGTACATCTACATAAATAAACATAATTCTGAAACAGCAACTAGAATAATAGAAAAAATTACTCAGATTCAGGAACTACTTCGTCGCGTTCACACTCTATGCAAATGGTGATTGTATGTTCTTTACAAATTGCTCTGAAACAATTGGCGCATTTTGACGCTGTTTTCCGATTTTTTTTTCTTGGGACAATAGGAGCATTTTGGCCTTGCACCTGCTTGATTTTCCTCAGGAATATCTCGTTTTCTGTGCCAAAGGAAGATTCAGATATTTTTTAATTTGCAAAGTTAGCAGAAATGGCAAGTTTTGGGCCGCTTTTTTTTGCATATGTGGGGTAATGAGTTGTCTGGCTAAAATTTTCAGATACTCACGTCTTGGTTGGCAGTAATCTAATACATTTGTCCTAAATATAATGTTTCCATTTATTCCAGCGATGTTTAGCATAGTAAAAAAAACAGTCAAAACCTACATGTAATTCTTGCCACTGAATATAGACTCTTCAGTTGGTCCCCTGAATTTTCTCCCGATTTCGATTGATTGTAAAAAGTAACTACTGCTGTTTTGCAAGCTTCACCACTTTCCTCGTCAATTAAATATATTATATAAATAAATTTCTCAAATATATTTCTTATTGGAGCCAGCTTATCAATTAATTTGCGTTCAGCTCTTGTGTGAATGTTATCAAAACGTAGTGCTCGAAGCAAAAAAAGAAACGTTTCAGGGGCATTACCATTTTGAATAACTCTGGTGCTGTAGAATCGTTGCTCCATAGGTCATATAGGTTGGTGTGTCGGGATTTCAAAACTCCTGCCATGTACAACAATCCAAACACTTTATTTCGTCACAGTCGTATCTAAAACATTTCGTTCGCGTGCATAGTTTGCCTCTAATTTTTTCTAGGTACAAATTTGTGCACGTCACAATTTCTTCAATAGTATCATCTGTTATTAACAGGTTTCAACTTTCATATCCTTTGCCGCATGTTTCACTCCTGGTAGTTTGCTTATAATATTGTGCTGTCGAATACGGCTAGTTTCTTGCTTACGGTGAACTTTTCAAATGGTTTTTTTTTGTCTCTGCCAATATATTTGGGACCATCTTCAGACCAAAACGTTGAAATAGTATTTGTCGTATCATCGGCCAAAAACTCTGAGTATGTCTCATGATTAGAACTGACTTCTACTGAATCTATGTCGCTTGCTTTATCGTCCAAATTTTGCTCTTGCGTCTTTTCAAGTAACAAACCCTCTTGCTCCAATTCTTCATATATTTTTAACAGTCTGGTTTCTTCTTTAGGATCCATTACACAATAATATTTTAAAGTTATATGATTTAAAACACAAAGTCAATAAAAAAACCCAACAAAAGTTACTCTGTAGCTTTCCAAAATCGTCACGTCGTTAGTCGCGGGTGAGCTAATCGCTCATTTTTTGACATCTGCGTTTAATCAATACTTGGAATAAACTAACGATTGCTTGATCACAATTCTGCGTAAAACATTCTATACACAATAGTGGTAGGAAGGATTACATGAGCGCAGTTGCCAATGTGAGTAAAATTGTGAAAAATGTTAAGAAAAAAGTAAAATGGTGAGCGTTGCGTTCACCATTTTACTTTTACTTTAATGACTCTCTTTATATTACCCAAAAATAAACCAAATTAAAATTTAATAAACCAATATAAAAATAACTGGGTATTAAAAAAAGTAATCAAAATGTTTTTACTCACTTGGTATATTTTGTGGTATTATTTCACTCATTTTGAATACTTTTTAACAGCTCGATTTACAAAGGTGCTAAACGATTCATTCAAAACAATATCCAACTCCTTACAGGCAAAGGGATACAAGTGTAGTTATACCTATTTATACAGGGTGAGTCATGAGGAACTTGACATACTTCTACTATGTAGAGTCCCTCAGGGAGCATATCATGTGGCCACTAAAAAATGTCAACTGCTCTTCTTTATTAATTAACAGGGTGATTTGTGTAATTGACCATTTATTTCATTTTACTGTAGCGTTTATACGGCTCATTTGATTTTTTTAATTTTTGCATGATACAGTACACTACTATCAAGCATTCGACTGGTATTAGCTAAACTAACAAATTTCAGGACTGGCTTTGGAAAAAAGAATTTAGGGTTTCGTATTAAATATTACACCCTGTATATATTTTTTATTAAATGCAATAAGTGATTTTCAAACTACATAAATAGCCAATGAAAACGACATATGCGACAATGTTGTCGCACTTTTATTAAATTTTTAGTGAACGATCAATTCTTACCAAAAATAGAACAACCATAATGAAGTATCAAATTATAAGGTAATCAATTTAAACAAATGTTATAAATTTCAAACATTTTAATTGAAATGATACACTGAGACACTGCACAACAAAAAACAGTAAATACTGACAATAATGAAAAACAATTAAAAAAAAACTAAAAATATGTACATAGTTATGATAAACCCATAAATTAGAACTGGAAAAGATACAATAATGGTAACAAAATAAAAATAATTCAAAATAGATTTTCGAAATGGAACCCTGCAACCTATACACATATTTGTTGCCGAATTGTTAATTGACGTATTGAATTACGGATACTATGGGGATCGTTTCTAATAGTATTACAACAATGTATAATTCTATTAACTAATTATTGTCGGTTATTAATATTTACTGCGTAAACTAGTTGCTTCAATCGTCCCAAAATATAGTAATCAACGGATTGAACTCAGGGGATCTTAAACGCCACGAAATAGGACCTGCACGTCCTATCCACCTGTTGCCATAAACATTATTGAGATGTTGTCTCACTGCCAGTAAAAAGTGTGGGGGTGCCCCACCATGCTGAAAATACATCCCTCGGATAGCAACGTTCGCGTTGGCAAGCAAATTTGGCAAAATATTTTGTAGAAAGTTCAAATAGAACTGGCCAGTTAAAGGACCATCAAAAAAGTGAGGACCTACTAATTGGTTATTTATGACACCAATCCACACGTTAACCGAAAACCTTAACTGAGAACGACGTTCTCGAATAGCATGGGGATTTTCTTCTGCCCACACATGTGCATTTCGTGAATTATTTATTCTGTCTCTGGTAAATTGGGCTTCATCTGTAAATAGTGTCCTGTATATCGTTGGTTGATTGTTGTTAATCCATCTACAACATTCCAACCTATCGATCTCATCTCCAGCATGTAGTCGCTGAACCATTTGAATGTGATATGGGTCTAGATTATTTTTTTGTACGACTCTTCTTACTTTTGATGGAGTAACATTGAGTTCTCGACTTACTTGTCTAGTGCTTATTGTAGGGTTCATAGTAACGGCGCCCATAATGTCATCTTCCTGCGCTTCATCTACATGTCGCTCTGTTGTCTAGTAAAAGTGCCATTTTCTCGCAAATAATTAAAAAGTGACCCAAATGTTGGATGACTGGGAGTTCGACGATTAGGAAATCTCCTGCGATATTCTCTACTAGCAGCCCTACCATTCCCAGTACAGAATCCATAAACAAATATTATGTCTGCATATTCTGTGGTCGAAAACTGCTGTGGCATTTTGAACGAAAGTAACAAAAGCTCTACCAAAACTATCACAATGTACTTAACGTAGACATGATAGAAGAAATATGTATTGTTGTACACATAAATAACAATTGATAATGACAATAATGACAATGGGTATAAAATATCAAGAAACGTTAAACGGCCAACGCCAACCTTCATTTTAAACATTTTTAAACAATTAATTTTTCCAAAGCCAGTCCTGGAATGTTTTAGTTTAGCTAATATCAGTCGAATAATAATAATAATAATAATAATAATAATAATAGCGTTTATTGTCCAACAGAATCCATTTATAGGACAAAATACAATACTAAAGTTAAATGAAATATTAATAATTCATAGGTACTAACTAAATAACACATTTTTCGAGTATTTAACATAAAGAAACTACTTAATCACCTAGGTAGATCTCAGCCATCCTAGTAAGCTGCTTTAAACTGCAGTGAAATATATCGCAGTAAGCACTTAAGGAGTTATAATAGTTGCACATGAGAAATAGAGGAGAATTTAACATAAGATTAGTTCTAGCTTGTGTATTTCTGAACGTAATCGAATTTCTCACTGGATAAGATGGAACGTTAAAATTTATTTGTCGAAGAATATCAGGGCAGTCAATGAGATTATGTAGTAGCTTGTACAGGAATATTAGGGAGGCATTAATTCGTCTAGATTCTAATGATACTACGTCCAAACCGCTACACAACTCGCTATTGCTGATGCCCCTCCTGGGATATATGCCGTTAATTTTGAAAGACAAAAATTTTAAAAATTTACGCTGCACATGCTCTATAATTTGGATGTGTACATCATAAAAAGGTGACCAAATGACAGAAGCATATTCCAGTTTACAGCGTACAAAAGTGTAATAAAGTAATTTAATTGCCTTAGTATTAGTGAGATTTCGACTATTTCTAATTATGAATCCATAAGATTTAAGTGCTTCTTTAACCTTTAAATTAACATGTTCAACAAAGGTGAGTTTATAATCAAATGTAACTCCAAGGTCTTTAATTTTATTCAATCGTTCAAGTTCATTGCCATCGATAATATAAGGATGGTATATATTAGACTGTTTCCTAGAATAACTAACTACTTTGCACTTATTGGCATTAAGATTCAAATGATTTGCATTACACCATTCATGTACACGATTCAGTTCACTCTGTAGAAAATGACAATCATTAAGGTCGCTTATCAATGAATAAATCTTTAAATCATCGGCATAACATAAACATGGTGCAGAAATTGATTCACACAGATCATTAATAAATAACAAGAACAATAATGGACCTAGATTAGAACCTTGTGGAACCCCTGAAGAAGCTAGGTACTTTTCCGATTTGTAACCATTATAAGCAACAAACTGCGTTCTATTTGACAAGTAGGACCTCATAAAAGTCAAGGCATCCTCAGAAAGACCAAAGAGACACAATTTAGAAAGTAATACGCCGTGGTGAATTCTGTCGAATGCCTTCGTAAAGTCAGTATATATGACGTCAACTTGACTTCTATTATCTAGGGCTGCTGAGATATATTGTGTGACCATTAATAAGTTTGTCACAGTGGACCGATTGGAGACAAAACCATGTTGATATTGAGATAGCTGATTATGAGTGTGTGAATAAATACGATTATACAAAACTATTTCAAAGACTTTCGATAGATTACAAATAATGGAAATTGGTCTGTAGTTTTCTACCTGACCCTTTTCACCAGTTTTGAATATTGGGCACACTTTTGACTCCTTCCAGAGACTCGGATATTCCTTGTTAAGAAGACATAAATTAAAAATTTTTAAAAGTGGCACAGTTAAGGCACCTATACAATCCTTAACCAAAAAGGATGGAATATTATCAGGTCCACACGTCATTTTGTCTTTCAATTTCTTACTCGCAAAAATTATCTCAGACTCTAAAATAGGATAAAAATTTAAGTAATCTGCGTTAACTGAGGAAGAGTTAGCCTTGAAATTAATATCTGATGACAGAAAAACACTCTTGAAAAATTCTGCAAACACATTCACAATATTTTGTGGGTCGGAGGTACTAATGTCATATTTCATCACACCAGGAATTCTTGAACTATTATTTTTTGAATTTACATAAGACCAAAATTTCTTGGGGTTGAAGGATAAAGCAATTTGGATATTCTCGACATATACATTGTATGCCAAACTGATTTTTGATTTGACAAGGTGTCTTAACCGTTGAAACTCAAGCAAATCACAATGGTTTTTGAATCGTTTAAACTTTTTTCTAAACTTTGCTTTTAATTTGATGTTGTGAATGATATCAGCATCGAACCAAGGGGGTATTTATGGCTAAAGTTTTTATAAACTGGAATATACTTATTAAACACAGAAAAAATCGTATCATAAAAGTTATTTAAAATCTCATTAACGTCATTAGAAGTATCCAGAGAATTCCAATCCGTTTCATACAGTTCTCGATATAAAGCAGGAAAATTTGCTTTTTTAAAGTTGTAAGTTAATTGCTTCAAACCACACTTAAATTTAGGCTCTTTTACAAATATATCCGTAAATGTTATTAGAAGAGCAGGATGATGAGAGTCTTCATAGACCAAAGGTGAGTCATCATGCTTCACATCACAACTGAAATGCGATAAGACCAAATCTAGCAGTCTACCCAAATGATTAACAACATTGTTAAATTGTCTAAGGCCAGTAGAGCCCGCAAAACTTAAACTACAGAAGTTTTGAAATC